TGAATTAGACTCTCCGGCTAAATTATCTCTACTTTCCTCATCTCTAGCTGATGATGAAGAAGAAACAGAAGTTGGTTCTTTTTTCCCTACTTCGAAAAATGACATTAGTTTTTTGCTTCTTCCTCTGAGATTCCATTGCAGTATTTTCCACTATACTAAAACAATTTTTAATTGAAGGTGATTACTTGGCAACATCGTACTTAACGAAGCCATTAACGATAACTTTTTAACGAAATCGTATTGAAATTATCAATTTTGCAGAGGCGTACCAAAAAAAAATTTAATTATTTATTTAAACACATAAGTAATTGCGTAAAAATTAAATCTAAGACCGATTTAATTATTAAATTATCATGTCTCTTTTAACAGGTATCTTATAGTTGTCTAACAAAATAAAATAAATTGTTATTCTTATTAGAGAGTATCTAATACAGAACTTCAAAAAACAGAAAACTTTGGAAACTAATTTTTTTTTCATTAGACTAAAAACAATCTGCAATTTTAATTACACATCATTACACATCATTCTCCATTTATAGAATTGCTGTGTGCTGTAAACGTTAAATTTGTTTATTTTTAACTTAATTTAAAAGTTTGCTTGTGCTTATTTGTTTATATAAATATGAAAATATATTATGAAGTTCATATAAATTAAAATGAAGTAAGCTAAACTATTATCATATGAATGCGTTTATATAGCAGTGCATTTGTTTATTTCAGTAAATTCTCGAAATATGAAATGAAGATGGCACTAACTACCAAAGAGTTAATAGCTTTGTTAGAAGAAGACTCAGATTGTGAAAATGCCACTTAATGGGGTTTGATCTTCTTCTTCCTTCTAGTTTGTAGGCTTTAAAGCCTGTTTCTTCTTTAATATTAGCTTCCTAAATTGTTAATTGTCGCACTATCTTTTTCTTGGTCTGCCAATACTTCTTCGTCCATTTGGTGGCTTATCTCATGCTATTCGTACTATTCTATCCTCCGCCATTCTACTGATGTGTTTGTTCCACTTTTGTTTTCGTTTTGTCACCCATCCATTTATGTCTTCTATATTGCATGCTCTTCTTATGTTTTTGCTTCTCTCTCTATCCAACAGACTTCTCCTTGATATTCGTCGGAGTATTTTCATCTCTGTTGTTTCTAGCAGTCGTCTCGTTTTAGATGTGTCAGGTCTCTTCTCAGCCGTGTACGTTAATATAGGTCTAATTCCTGCTTTATAGATTCTTGTTTTTGTGTCTTGTCTTAGGTATTTGTTCTTCCAGATTGTGTCATTAAGAGATACCGCCGCTTTACTTGCTTTTAAGCTTTGCTGTCGTACTTTTTGTTCAACATCTCCGTAACTAACTATATCTATTCCCAGATATCTAACCCTTGCTTCCGGCTTTATTATTTTCCCATCAATTTCGATTTTACACCGTAGTGGGCATTTAAATGTTATACATTTGTATTTTGTTCGCTGATATTATCATATTGTATTTCTTAGCTGTTGTATTGAAGATATGTGTTAATCTTTAGAGCTCGTCTTCTGTCTCGGCGATTAATGCGGCGTCATCTGCATAACATAGTATTTGGATTTCTTGGTTCCCAATTCTGTAGCCTTGACTTTTACGTACTGCTTGTATTCTTTCTTCCATTAATATAATAAAGAGAAGTGGGCTTAACGAGTCACCCTGTCTGACTTCGCTTTGTACTGGTATACACTGTGTTACTTTTTCATTTATCTTTGCCTGTATTCGATTATGGAGGTAGATGCTTTCAATGGTTTGTATAATATTGATTGGTATGTTCCTTTTATACATTAGGTGTAAGACGTCTTCGACTTGGACGCGATCGAAAGCCTTTATCAGGTCTACAAAACATAGATATGATGGCTTTTTCTGTGATTTGTCTTAGTACAAATACGGCGTCTACGCAGGATCATCCGGATCTGAATCCTTGTTGTTCATCTGATAAAGTTGTTAGTTTATTTATTTTGTTGGTTAGGACTTTTGTGGTAAGCTTAAGTGCGGTGTTCAGTAGATTTATACCTCTATAATTGTTGGGGTCTTCTTTATCTCCTTTCTTGACCATTGGTATCATTATGCTGTTTCTCCATGCGTCTGGTATCTTGAAGGGCAATATCAATTTTTGTATAATTTTGTCATCTCTAGGGTTAAACTTTTTCAAACGTATTTTAGGAGCTCGTTGGTTATTCCGTCTGGTCCTGGTGACTTTCTATTTTTGAGTGAATTTATGGCTATTTCTACTTCGTGAAAACTGATTTCTATTTGGTCTCTTAGTTCAGGTACGTTATTGTGTTGATTATTTTTTCCTTTGCTTTAAACAGTTCCGTCGGGTATCTTTCCCATTCGTTTACTGGTATATTATTGTATTCCTTGAAGAAATTGATGATAATATTATTTGCGAAGAATCAATAAAATCGGATGTTGCAGGTACATATGACATACAAGTGATTGGAAATTCTAACGATTCTGATTATGATATTCCTCTGAACCACAGATAAAACGTCCAAAAAAAAAACAGGCAAAAATAGTAAATCCAAATTTATCTCAAGTTGTAATAACAGATATTCTTTCGTGCACAGTAGTAATTCAACATCAGTCTTATTGATATTTAGACAATATAAAAGCCAACCATGTAGGCAAGTCATATATTGAAGTTTTTTCACTCTTTTTGATAAAAAAGTAATTGAGAATAACCATCACAATTTTGAAATGAGTAACCTATATTTAAAAAAAATTATTAGCATATGTATATTATCTGGTTTACACTCTGCTTCAAGTTGATATGCATTGGTCAAAGGATGAGAATAAAGAAGTGCATATTATAAGAGAAAGCATGAGCGGACATAGATTTATAATTTTAATTTATAATAGTGAAGAAACCGCTACATCAGTGTCTGTACATGGGCGTCAATCTAAATTTGCTTTACCAGATGAAACCAGATTCGACAATATTGGCCACATTATAAAAACAGACGATAGTGCAAAAATGTAGGATGTACAAAAGTAATACTATTTATTTAGGTAAAAAGTGTAGAATGCATCTACACCCCGAATATTTCGAAAATTTTTACCTTAAAATTTAATTTACGTTTAAGATACAATATGTTCCTTTATTAAAAATTGTACTGTTTTCCTTACAAATGAGAAAAAAAATCTTGTTGGTTGTAATTTATTCCTAATTTGTGTTTTTAACCCAATCTAATAAATTATTTGTCAAATTTCTCTTTGTATATTGAGCGGCCGTTAAGGGTTTAATACTATATAAAGAATAAACTGGCCTCAAATTGACTTTACTTACCTCAAAACTATTTTAAAGTTAATAATAAAGTATATTTAATAAATATATTTCCAATAATATACTACGCCTATGAACATATGTGTAAAATCTGGAAGATATCATATTTCATAAACTTCAATAAACTAAGATATCATATTTCTCTAATTAACATTCTTTCTAAAAACGTAAATATATATAGACCAGCAAAATATTGATAATTTTACCGATGTTGCAAACTATTCTATGAACTTGTCTCACTATACACTCGTGAATCGCATCAATTTATATTGTTACGGGGGCAAATTTATCTTAGATGGGTTACAAATTTACATATTTACATGGGCGAAGCATACACAATAAAAATGACCCCGGTAAGAATTTACTAATGAAATTTTTCATGGTTGCCGCTACCGTTTAGTTCAATTTGTAGATTAGTCACCTTTAATTGAAAATTGTCCGATATTACACTTATCACACTTGAATAAAAGTTGTATAAAGTACACCTACTATATTTGTTAACATGTATCGCCTAATGCGTTTATTTAAAATAAACACCAAACTTGGCATAACATACGCGAATTACTATGATTTGTTTGAGTAAACTATGCACAAATACAATGTGGCGGGCGGCGGTGTTCAGACGAAGTGGGATGAGAGAGTTTCTTAGAAGTACAGTCTAGTTTTCGCCCGTGGCCGTACACTCTGGTTTTCGTGTACTAGGCAGTAGTAGGCCTACAACGATTTACCCGGAGGGCGGAGTGAATCGTTATACTTTATCGAAATATACAGAATGTTTTCTATGGTCTGTGTTTTATTTACAAAACCTAAATTTTCTGTTTATTTTCTTTTCTTTTTTTAACCAGTGCCGGAACAGCGTTCCGGCACCATGACACCACTGCTGTTCACTGAATAAAGTCATCAAAGATATTTATTAAAATTTCGTAACAGAACATAGTTAATTTTAAAATTTAGTGTGTACTATTTAGTTTTTAAACCTCAACAATGCGTATTTTCACATTTTTCAGATTTTAAATCGCATAAACTCCCTCTGTGGCTCAGTGGTAAGAGCGCCTAACTTTGAACCTAAAGGTGTGAGTTCGAATTTCACCTGGGTGGAGAAATTTTCGTTTATTAAAAATTAATGAATGAAAATAATTTCTATTCTTGTGCGATCGGTACTCACCGGAGGGACCGCAGACATTCCGATACAATTAGCGTCTCTTAGCAAAGACAATGACGTCCACTTTGCTAAGTATCAAGACAATTACTCTACAGACACACACACACACATGTACCATGTACCATGCTAATGACCATTAGTTGTCGACGCATTAACTCAATAAAAAAAAATCGCTTATAACTCGAAAACCGTTAACTTTAGAAAGAAAATGACAAGAAAATAACAAGAGTTGACAAGTTTAGAATGATAACAAAAAACCTAAAAATGTTTTCCGGAGCAAACAAGGTGATTTTTGAAATTTGTTTAAAAAATTATTCAAACAATATCTGCCCAAAAATTTCGCCCAGCACCCTTCAGATTTGTTAAAATTTAAATGGGATATTTTTGAACAAGAATCTCTAAAGAAAACGAATCAGAAACATTTTTCCTACGGGAGCGGCCTCACAATATCGACTATAACCAAAGAAATTTTAAATGCATAGCCCATTTTAATGACGATTTTCGAATTATCGTAGTTAATAAAAAAAGCTTACTTACATTAGCGAGTTTTGTACACCAGGTCGATCTCACTGGAGTTTTGGGATGCTAAATGATCGATAACTTTCTCGTTGAAGTCTTTAATGTTTTTTATTAAGTGTTTTTCTATGCTTAGCATGGCCCAAGCACACATTCGTTCTTGACTCAAAGTGTTTCTGAAAAACGTTCTTATTCTTTGAGATGTCGAAAAATAACGGCCGGTTTCGATTGTCGTCATAGGAATAGTACACAAAATCTTTAAAAGTTTGACGCTTTCGGAAAAAGTATCACACAAATTTTGATTAATAAAAAACTGTAGATACGCATTTGCACCTTCACAGTTGGTAAAATCTTGTCTGCTATACATAACTTCCAACTCCGTTTTAAGTTTTACATAATTTATAAGAGGATATTCCGTTTTGACTAACTTAAAAATATTTTCAGGAAAATTTTCTCTGTAGTTAATAAATTTATCGGAGTAAAATAATTGGGATATTATTAAATAATTACTGCGTCCAAATCTGTATTCGATTTCGCAAATAATTATGTTACAAACTTCAAGTGAAATTCGGCGTGTTGAATCTTCGATTTTTCTTCGTTTTGAGGAGTGCTCGGTCACTTCTCCCGGCTTAAAAGTAAAACTGGTCATAATATTACATTTTATTGCCTGTATTTTACTCCTAAAATCCATCATACATCTATCTAATGTTATTATGTCGATGTCGCGTTTTTGCAGTAGATCAAATAAAACATCACAATGTGCCATTACTGCACGAAAAAAATTTAACCAATACAAAAAAATCTCATCGTCTAAGTAATTCCTCAAACTTATAGCTTGATTTATGGAACTGTAGTTTGTTTCACTGTCGATAATTTTTTCTATGCATTCTATTAATTCGTTTTTGTAAGTATAAACCGTCTCTAGGACTTTGGTGTTAAAATCCCAGCATGTTGGTACTCCTTGTACAAATCGGACTTTAATAATTTCATCTAAAATAGTCGTCCTTTCTTGGGATTTTCCGAAAAATGAAGAAAAACTGTATAAATTGGCGAAAAATACTTTGATGGTTTTATCCTGACTTGCTGCTTTTTGCAATATTAAATGTAGTTGATGGGCGTAAGAATGTATAAAATGAGCAGAAGGGTAAAATTGTTTAATTTTGGCGTGGACACCGCCCATTCCACCGCTCGTAACAGATGCGGCATCATAACTCTGGCCTACTAACTTTTCTCGATGCTTATCAATAATTATGTCTTCTAATTCTCGTAAAATCAGTTCTGATCGATCTTGCGGAGCAGTTCCGCCAGACTCAATACATTTCCAAAATCGCTCGCATATAACACCGTCTTTGACGTACCGAAAAATAATTGCTGTCATATTGTTACTACCAATTATTGTATCTGCTTGTATGGCAACGAACTCAGCCTGAAGAATTTCAGACCTAATTTCATCATGAACAACAGTCAATATCGACTTCAAAAGTTCATTTTTAATAACATTTGAAGAATCTTCAAAAATTGAGCTATTTTTAAAATTTTCTTTAAAAATTACATCTAGTTCAGATACAAAATTTACTAAACCTTGAAGTATTCCCTGACTGTCTGAAGTTTCTGTAATATTATTATCACTCCTAATGAGGGCAAGTTCAAAGGCACCACAAAATACCATACAGTTTATTATTTTATTTAAAACAAATCTGTTTTTTGAAACGTTTTCATTGTATATGTTGAATCCTTGATTGTACTCACTATCTGATAGCAATTTGATGACAACTGAGCCCAACATTGCTAAACTAAAACAACTATTTATGTGATCTGACAAAAGCGAATGCTTCTGTGTTTTTATTTTCAAATGTTTCAAGTCAATTACGCCAGTTTTGCTCCATAAATAATCATCACCGAATAGCAGACAAGGAAAACAAAAAAATGCATTTCGTTCTTCACACCCACAAATCCATTCAGCTATATCGTACATCGAATTACTAAAATAACGATTCACTTCTCTATTTTTGTCTAACGAAGTTTGTTTAATTGTCATTTTTGGTTTTGGACGTCCTCCCGTTTTAAAATGTAGAAGCTCCTCGTATGTCAATTTTCCGGCGTTTTTTAGAAATATAATATTTTGCACTACACTCATTTTTAATCAATAGACACAAGGACACAAGACACAATAAATACAGAACGTAATAATGATGAAAATACACCACAAAACATAACAATGCCGTCTAATAAGATCTAACTATTTAGAACTTCTTTTGGAACAACTTCGACTAGGGTTGATGCTCCTATTTCATATATAGCAGGGAATTCTGGTTCGTTCCTTTCAATGAAAAATATCGCATAAGCTCATCTTTGTCTAAACGCGATATAGAGTTGTCGTTCTCTCTTATCCATGAGGTCAATTCCGTATGCGACCCAACCAATTCCAACAAGTTTCGTGGGCGTGGCTGTTACCAACGATATAGACGCTCAGTGTTTACACGCGGCGCTGATATACACAGTGGCGTAACATACTAGCTGCGGATCTCTACAGTAACTTTTAAAAATAAAATAAATAAAAAAACTAAAATAACACAAATATTTTTTATTTAAATATTGTGTTTATATGGGGTTAAGTCACAACTGATTGTAATGAAAATTATATTTTTAACTGCTGTTTGACTTTTCGACTTCCAATCCGCAAATCGCTTAAAAAAAACATTGTAGTGGAACCTCGATTAACCGTCAGCTCTGTTAACCGTCATAAGTATAACTGTAACACCCGGAATTAAGGAAATGTAATTCCATTATGGGTAGTGGGTAGGAACTCATTGGAATTCCTTGAATAGTCCTATCAGGATGAATCATTCCCTGTCCCTACAGATTCCAGGTGTTTCCTGACCCGGTCCCTTGCTTAGGGTAGTACCTGCTTAGGGTCCCTTGTCTAGGGTTACGGATGAAGACCACAACGGCAGTCACGGCGGAGAGGGAGACCTTCGGTACGGCGTGGATCGCGGAAGTGGCGACCCCGGATTTTAGGGTTTGTATAGAATCAAGCAGCGTCTGATCCAGAGTGGGCGTTTTGGCTGAAAGTGCAGGTCCTCCAAAGTGGGGGTTTTGGCGTCAGGCTTTAGCATCCTGGCACATGTAAAAACAACAAAGGGCGAAAGTACAAGAAGCTGTATGAAAAATAACAATATAGTTCCAGGCGGTAATCCATACCTCCATCGAATACGGGGGGAGGAGGCAATTCTGCTTTTGGTAAGAGAAACCCAGTCTTAAAGTTCAGCCAACGTCGAAAAGAGAAACAGAGAAAGAGGGAAATCACGTGTAGCACCTGGAACATCCAAGGATGGCGAACTAAGGACAAAGAGGTGATAGAGGAATTTAGGAGGACGAACTTTGATATTTTGGTAACAACTGAGACCAAGAAAAAGGGAAATGGTACACAATTTGTAGATGACATCTTCTACTGTTGGAGCGGGAAAAAGAAGGAAGAAAGAGCAGCTGCCGAAGTGGGGATACTAGTCAAGAAAAAATGGGTAAAAACAATAAAATCATGGGAACCCATAAATGAACGAATAGTAAAACTCATCATGGAAATGTATGGCAGACAAATCGTGATACTGGAAGTATACGGCCCTACGGATAACAGTCTGGTAGCAGAAAAGGATCAGTTCATGGATACCTTACAAGAAGAGATCAGAAAAGTGAGACCAACACAAGAAATAATAATAGCGGGGGACCTAAATGGAAGAACAGAGAAGATGTGACAAACGATAATGGAGAAAGACTAATTGACCTGTGCAAACTGAACAATCTGAAAATTACTAACAGCTTTTTCAGACATAGGGACATACATAAATACACGTATGTACAAACAACGAGAAACATCAGATCCATTATCGATTACATAATTGTCAGCAAAAGTAGCACTATCAAAATTAAAGATACACGAGTAAAGAGAGGAGCCGAATGTGGCACTGACCACCGACCACTGAAATGGAGTTCAACATAAATTTACTTCAAGAGGAATCCATAAGGGACCTATACCAGAAAAGACTGGACCAGAAGTTACAGGATTTCGGTTTCAGAAACGTCAAAGAAAGTACGAGCACGTCAAACACAGCATAAAAAAAGCGGCATTAGAAGCTTTGGGGAAACTTGAGAAAAGAAATACCCAACACAGAGTAAAAATAAACAAAGAAACCAAAAAATGTATTGAGGAGAAGAAAATTCTAGATATGAAAAGTATGAGCACCCAATCCCCAGAAGACACACAGAAGTACAAAGAGAAAAAGAGAAGTAAAACGAAGAAGGGCAAAAGAAAATAATGAAGAACGGACAGAAACATGTGCACAAATTGAACAATACATAGGAGGAACAAGGAATTCGGAATCCTGGAAAATACTGAAATCTTTAAGGAAAAATAACAACGAAAAGGTTCAAATACAATACATACCAGAAAAAGAGTGGGACCACTACTATAATGAACTACTCACAGAAAACCGCACAGATTTCATAGAGACAGGCACAGCACAGGAACAACAACAAAATCAGAATGAAGAAGAGATTGAGATAACATTAAACGAAGTAAAGAATGCCATAAAGACTTTAAAGAACAAAAAATCAGGGGGACCAGGAGGAATCGTTAATGAACTAATTAAGTACGGAACGGACAAACTACACATAATTATACACGAAATGTTCAGTAACGCTACAGACCTGAACGAAATACCAGATGAATGGTCCAAAGCATATATAACCTCGATACATAAAAAGGGAGATAAGAAGAAATGCGGGAACTGCAGAGGCATCAGTGTGATAGCATGTATGAGCAGGGTATATGGAAAAATACTGAAAGAAAAACTGGAAAAATCTATCTCAAATAAAATCGGAGATCAGGCGGGGTTCACGGCAGGAAGATCTTGCATAGACCACATATATACACTCCAACAATTAATTGAAAAAAAAAAATGGCAAAAAATAGACCAGTACACATGGCATTCACAGATTTAAAAAGGCATATGACACGGTTCCCAGAAAACAACTATGAAACACGATGAAGGAAATCGGAATAACTCAGAGGTTAATAGAAGCCGTAAAAAACCTTTACAACAACAACAAGGTAAGAGCTAAAGCCGGCTTATTGCAAGGATGCTCTACATCTCCGACACTGTTTAAGATATTCCTCGAACAAATATTAAAACCATGGAAAAGGAAATGTGAAGGGATAGGAATAACAATCCGGGACAACTTCTTGTACACATTAAGCTTTGCAGATGACCAAGTGGTAACGGCTCAAGATGAAGAAGATCTGTGTTACATGCTCCGAAAATTAGAAAAGGAATCCACAAAAAATGGACTGGAAATAAACCTAGATAACCAGCAGATTAGCACAGACAAGAACAGGTATTATACAAATGAACGGGGTACTGTGGGATAGACAGACACCTTGGTACGCAGTATAATGACCTATGGAGCAGAGAATTGGGTAATAAAAAAACGAAACAGGTCCAAAATCACAGTAACTGAAATGAAGTTCATGAGAAGAAGCTGCAGAGTGACAAAAATAGATCGCATCAGAAATGATGAGATAAAACGAAGAATTTCAGTAGAACAAGACATACTCAGCTACATCGAAGAAAAACGTTTAATTTGGTATGGACATGTGAGAAGAACAGATCATACAAGGTGGATAGCAAAGATTTCGGATTGGAACCCAATAGGAAGGAGGAAAAGATGTAGACCCCGAAGATCATGGAGGGATGAAGTGGACGAGGCTATGGAAAGACGAGACCATAGAGATGGAGAATGGCAGAACAGAAAGGACTGGAGATGTTGGCTGAAAGAAGGAAGGCGGCGACAGCTGTAAAAATCCTTATATAGATAGATAGAAATAAGTAAACATTGAATCATCAATTCATTGTGTTTGAGCATTGCGATAATATATATGTGTATAACGAAACCTAGAGGAGATAGAAAAAAGTAGCTAAGATGTCATGACTTCTTTCTCGTTAAAGTAATCACTGCCAAAATCAAATCATCAATAGCTCCTCACAGTAGCGAGATACAGGGTGATTATTGAAAAATGTCGAAAACGACAGGGTTAAATATCTTCTTTATTAACCCTTAACCGACTTCGTGGAGTCCCTCGGACTCCGCAGTTCAAACAACGCTTCATGTTTTCCCAACTATTGATCCAAACGAGTGTTGTTGTACAGTACCTTCAGGTAGTAATGAGATCTCCGTTATGCTTATGCGAAATTGCGATCAGTTGCGTAGAAGTTATCGAATAAAACACATTAGAGTCTGAGGGACTCTACGACGTAGTTTGTGATAGTTTTTATTTCAATGGTGGTTTCTAAAAGTAAAAAGTGTGCATCCAGACGATGCTAATTTTGAAGAAATTGTTGGGCGATGACACGAAGAGGCCGATAGTGATTTTTGCGACCAAGATGGTGACGACACGCCAAATAGTAAATACGAAGAACAAATTTTGAGTGACCAGAGTTTAGAGAGCGAATTGTATGCTAGCGATAAGAGATGTTGTTTACATTGTTGTATATTACACAAAGGTCAAACTGAGGGAATATCGCCACACGGACAAAAATCAAACCGCACAGAATCTAGTGACACCAATAATACAGATATGAATGGATTTTTGGGCCTTCTATTATTAAGATCAGTCTTCAAGTCTAACCATGAAGACATCAACGCACTGTTTGCTACTGATGGTACGGGGAGAGAAGGCATTCTCAGCACGTAGATTTGCTGTATTGCTAATATGCCTACGATTTGATACACGAGAAGAAAGAGCGAATCGAGCTAAAACTGATCCAGGTGCCGCAATTTCCCACATTTTAAAGATATTCAACCAAAATTCTCAAAATTCTTATTTACTAGGTGCTAATACTACAGTCGATGAAATGCTAGTCGGTTTTCAAGGGCGATGTAGGTTTAAAATGTATATACCTAGTAAACACGAAAAGTATGGAATAAAGATTCAATATTTAGCAGATGCTCACACCCACTATGTATTCAACACATATATGTATTAGTATTCTGTACCTGGATTCGATTCGATTGTTGACTAATGCTTCTTCTATTGCCCACAGTTCTACGCTATCAAAAGCTTTTTCATAATCTATAAAAGCC